GAAAGCAGGTGGTTCAAATCTTCCAGCCGCTATGCAAAAGAAAGATGGGCAGTCTCCTCTCATGCAGTTTACTGCCTCTGAAAACCTGCTGAAAGGTTGTTTATGAGTCGGTTCTAACTCTGTGGCACATAACAACAAGAACAACAACAACTTAATGTGCAAATAGGCACATAACAACAACAACAACAACTTAATGTGCAAATAGTTAACACGTCCAGTTGCCAACCAGGTTCAAGTCCACCCAGAGGTGCCACAGATGATAGTGCTGGTTGTCTACCTCTTAACAAAATTAGCCATTGAAAACTCCATGGAAGGGAAGCCTGCGAGGACAGAGGGGGGAGGGTGGGGCCAGGGTTCGGCCCTGCCACCATCCCCTCTTCCTACAAATCGCAGGTACAGAACTACAACTCCTAGAGGTCTGTGGGGAAATGCCATCTTTAAAAACTTGGATTTGGGTGGAAAACTCCATGGAGCACAGTTCTACTCTGACATTTAATGGGGTCACCATAGGTGGAAATGACTTGAAGGCAGCTGTAGGGAAACAACAACAACAAAAAAAAGGTACTTTTGCAAAGAGTAGAGCTCTTATTGAAAAACCTGGAAGAATTGCTGCTGTGTTCTGCCCTCTGGTTGTGCTGTGGTAAGGTCACTGCTGAGGGTCTCCTTGGCTCCAGAAGGGAAAGGTGGTAAGCTACCATGAATAGGAGCAATAGAAGCAGACACTTCACCTGTCACACAATCTGTCCTTTGTTAGAAGAAAGGCCCATCTGCACACCAAAATTCAAAGTTCTCCACTGGGAATTCCACTTTAACCCTTCAAACACCACACTGTTCGGGCTGCACATTGGTGTAGGATTTCCCAGCTCGGAAGTCTCTCAGTACCCTGTTAACTGAGGCCCAGCCACGATGGGAGCCTGTTTGAAAAGCCCAGCTAAAGCCAAGAAGGCCAGACAAGTGGACTTTCATTGCAGGGGGAGGATTGCATATTTCCCTGGCCAGGTAACTATCGGTTACAGGACAAAGAGGAAGCCTGACCAGCAATCAACAAAGTGAGATTAAAAATTAACAAACTCGTGTTTGCTCAACTCTAATCTTTGAATCAGTCAATACCCAGGAGCTGTGCCAGTAACCTGATTTGAGGGTGGTCACGATTCTGCTCAGAGGCCGACCCAAGTCAGCAGTCAAAGCTGAGACTGGATGACTAGGTTGGCCATGGCATGTGTCTAGGAGGTGGGTGCTCACAAAGTATGGAAGGAAGCCTTCTTGCTGAAGGCTGCCATTTGTGGTGCTGGGTTTAAGAGAACTCATGACTCCAATTTTCCCTAATGATTTTTACTTTTAGTTGTCCATGCAAGGAAGGACCAGTGAAGACAGGCAACATTCCCCCCCCCATTTTTTTCTCCTCTTTTTCTTCCTTCCCCTCTTCAGAGCCCAAACTCCCAAAGCCCAACATGGCAGACAGAGGTGCATAGACAGAAGGTAGAAAGCTGGATATATTCTTAGAGGAGATTGAAGCATAACTAACTGAACCTCTTCTAGGGACGATTCACTTCTACTGTTTTATTTCATTCTGAGAGGGCAGGGGCTGAAAATACCTGTGAGGCAAGGAAAGATGATAAAACAGTTATGGCTTAATATTTTAAATCTATTTCCAAGCATAGTTCCTTGTGCATAGTTGTTACTTAGTTAGTATTTGGTGAATGAAAGACATGAATAAGTAGTCTAAGATGGCACAAGACTAAGAGAGGAACTTCAATGTATACTTCCCATGGAACCTATTATATATTCATAATTATTCATAATTCTCTCTTTCTCTGTGTGTCTAGAACAGTGGTTTTCTTTTCTGGGACATTTGGCACTGTCTGCAGATATTTTTGGTTGTCACAACTGAGGGACTACTACTGGCATCTAGTGGATAGAGACCAGATATGCTACTAACCACCTAATGACAAAGAATTATTTGATTCAAAATGTCAATAATGCAAGGTAAGATCCTAGTATTAAAGAACAGTTGCGGCCCAACTGTTAAAAATTATTATGGGAGGAAGGGGAATGGAGAAGAATTATGGAAACATTCTACTTCTTCATTTTAATATTTATGTGTGAGATTTTAAAACATGTTTTAATGTCACATATAGTTTTCACATACAAGCTATACAAATATCACATGCAATCAGAAGCAATTAATGAGCCATAGAAATACTTACTACTCATTAAACTATACTGGGCCTCAGCAACCCAGTGAGCCTTATGAGTCAGAATTTTTAACCCAATGGAGAGCACTATGAGTCAGAAACTTGACAGCAGTGGGTCTGGGTTCTAACTATAGTTTAGGAATCACCCAGGCCCTAAGGATACGGAGATGAGTGGGAGATAGACGCTATACTTAAGGGACCCACAGTTCAATAGGGAAAATCAGAAAAGTACTCAGCAATAATACAAGGTAGAGAGTGCTCATAGCTTTCTGATACACTACCTTTGTTTTTGTAATTAAGGAGATAATTGGTCCGTATCACCGGATGCAGTCATGGGACAGCCCTTCGTACCTGAGGAACATGCATGAGTTGACTGGCAAGGCTTTGTTCATGTCCAGGGACCTTTGTCCTTATCTGCCTCCTCATCAGGTCTACGTCTTCTTGGACTCACTAGCTCCCACCCAGAGAGTCTCAGAGGCCCACGAGAGAGTGGAAGAGGCCATGATGAGAGGTAGCTTCCAGTGTCAAGGGAGAAGCAAGATCCTGACCAAACCCAAAGTGTGTGTAGAAAGAGCCTGAGGAATGTCAGCACCAGCCTCTCATTTTATCCAATAAGGAACAGGAAGAGAGGGCTAAACATTTGCCTGAGATCACACACAAAAGTGAGTCAATGGCTGGACTAGCACTGGGACCAGGTTTCTCATTTCTTGCACTATATCTACCACTGTTTCAGGACACCCCTTTACTTCTTTCTAGGTTGACAACTCCTCCTTCCTTTTTGACTGCCATGTCACAGTGCCATCCAGGTGGCTCCAACTCTAACAGAGTGAACAGAACTTCAACAGAACAAACCTCTCTGTCTGAATCAATGCTACTCACTCTCACTCCCTCTGCTGTGCTTAATTAAGCCCATTGCCGCAGTCACCGTGCTTATTTATCGTATGGAGGATCTTTCTCTCTTGCACTGACGTTCTGTTTTTCCAAGCAAGTCATCCTCCAAGGGCTGGCCCCTCCTGATAGCACACGCATGTCTCTGCATGTACAAGTGGGCCAATATGTACTCACTCACCTGTGTAGAAAGGCAGGAGTCTCAAGGGAGAGCAGTGCTTTTTTCCAGATGCTGGTTACACCTCCAATCCTTGAATTTTTGAAAGAAAATTTTACTTGACATCACTTGTATTGCAGAGGTGGGCTATTCCAGGGACCTGGTTTAACAGAACAACACCAGAAGAATTATAAAGGAAAGAGAAGCTTGTCTTGAAGCCAAGACCTTTGGTGGTTAGAGGTTTCCCTGGAAAATTCCCTCCCCTTGCACAGTGTTTGTGGCGTCTTTTCAGGGTGCAGCACCGTGCACAGGAGGAAATGGTTTGTCTGGGAGGATAGTCACACAGAGAGGGCTCAGAAAAAGATCTTTGCTATGTAGGTCAAATACCTTCAACTGACAAAATGTTGTTTTTCTTTCTCTTTATCTCTTGATGGTATCATTCCTGAGCTCTGGTATTTCCCAGGCACAGAGTAAATTAATTGAGTTGACTGTGGTCCAGTGTTTGTGGTATTGTGGTTAAAACATGTGGCTCCTATCCTAAAGATCAGGATTAACCTTCCACCCCCAACCCCAGATGCCTGTTTAAGACAGAGATGGCACGCTGCTTCCATAAAGACTGAAAGCCTTGGGGACAAAGGAACAATTCGCTCAATGTTCTTCACCAGTACCACAAATCAAGCACATCAATTCTTCTTCAGTCTTACTTTATTGTTCAGTTTTCACAAGTGTATGTAACAATTGAAAAGACTGTAACTTGGGGTCAGCTGCAGCTTAGGTGGCATCTTTTAAATAGGTCCTTGGCAGCAAATTTGCCCAATGTAATACACAGTTTTAGTTCTAAACTGTTGCATCTGTGGGTATTAATCATGTTCGTGTTTTTTTTTTCTTAAAAAGGGATTCTTAACAACATCAGTCATTTCTGCATTTATCCTAATGTTACCTATTGATGTTGCGAGGATTATTATTTTTTTATATTGAGGCTGTAGGTTTTTATCTTCTTAAGTGCTTTAGGTCTTCTTTACTGCAGTAAGTAAGGTTATGGCTTCTACATAATCATGTTGCTGATGCACCTTTCTTCAATCCTGATACCGTATTCTTTTTAAACATAGTCCAATTTCTCTGATTATTTTCTCAACATATAGATTACAAACTTGACACATGCTTTCCTTGATTTCAGATCATGCAGTATCCCTTTGTCATGTTTCACCAACTGCTTTTTGGCTCATGCACAGATTCCACATAAGCACTATTAAGTGGTTTGGAATTCTCACTACTCTTGATATCTTTAATAATTTCTTAGGATCCAGGGAAACAAATACTTGTGCATCCCACTGGAGGATGTCCATGTTTGTGTCTATTCTAAAGAAAAGGCATTCAATGGAATGTGTAAATCATGAAACAATAGAATTAATATTAAAATTATTACTATTTTAATATTACATAAAAAGAAAACTTTTGCTGAAGATACTTAAAGAATAATTGCAGAGATACATAGAGAACTGTCAGAAATTTCAGCTGGCTTCACAAGACGATGCAGAATAAAGAATGCCATTGGTGGCTGATGAAGGCAAAGAATTCTAGAAAGATGTTTGCTGTGTTTTATTGACTATGAAAAGGCATTCAACCCTGTGGATCACAACCTACTATGCATTACATTGGGAAGGATGGAAATTCCAGGACATTTGATTGAGTTCATGCAGAACCTGTACATAGACTAAGAAGTAGTCAGTAGACCAGAACAAGGGGATACTTTACAGCTTAAGCTCAGGAAAGGTATAGGTCAGGGTGTTACTTATTAAATATATCTTTATACTGAGCAAATAATCTGAGAAATTGGACTAAATGAAAAAGAATGCAGCTTCAAGATTGGAGAAGATTCATTATCATGTGGTATCTATTCATATCTGTGATATGCAGATGATAAAATATTCCTTGATGAAAATGAAGAATATTTGAAGCACTTATTGATGAAGATCAAAGCCTATCACCTTCAGTAGGGATTATACCTCAACATAAAGAAAACAAAATTCCTCAAAACTGGGATGGACAAACAAAATAATGAAAGAGACATTGTTAAGGATTTAATTTTACTTCAGTCCACAATCAATGCCCATGAAAGTGGCTACAAATAAATTAAATAACCCATTGCTTTATGCAAATCTGCCATAAGGGGCTTTTTAAAGTATTCAAAAGCAAAGGTATCACTTCAAGGACTAAGGTGTGCCTGACTCAAATAATATTTTCAATCTCCTTATACACATGTGAAAGACAATGAGTAAAGAAGATTGACTTATAATTTTGGCAAAGAATATTGGTTATATCAGGAACTGCAAAAAGAACAAATAAACTTGTCTTGGAAGGATGTTAGCCAGAATGCTTCTTAAAAGTGAGGATGACAACATTTGTCCCACATACTTCAGACATGCTGTCAGAAGAGACCAATATTTGGAGAATAACATTATGCTTGGTAAGGAAGTGGAAGGGCCAGAAAAACAAAGACCTTCAGTGAGAGGGATTGATACAGATGCTGCAACAATAGATTTAAACACAGTCCATTGAAGATGTGAAGATGGCACAGGAACCAGACAGTGTACAGAGGGGTCAGTATGAATCAAAACTAACTCAGTGGCATCTACTAACACTAACAACCTAAGAGATAGAAGTGAAACACGTTTTTTGAGGACACAATTCAATTCATATGAGGGAGCAACAGTAGTTCTCTAAGTACACTGGGCTCTACCTTTTACATAGGCTTCTGGGGATAAAGTAACAGGAGCAAGGCTGGTGTTAGCAAGAAACAGTGGAGTTTGGGCATCTTCCTGATGTAGACGGTGCCCAGTGAGAGGATGGGTTTTTTTCCCAAGGGTTGGGAACACAGTGAGAGGGAACTATGGCTGTTTTCAGCTTCTCCTCTAAAGACATCAACTTTAGAGAAGAGGATACATGAGGGAAGAAGAGAAAGGGGAGGGGAGAAGAGGAGGGAGAAGAAAAAGAAGGGCAGGATGAGGAGGGAAGAAAGAGAAGGAGAAGGAAGCCTGGAAGGAACAAAAAAGAAGAGAAAGGAGAATTTAAAGGAGCAGAGAGGGGGAGAAGGTAGAGGGAAACACATTCCCTCAAAGGGATTTCCAAAAACTCACAAAGGACTTTGCCAAGCCATGCTGTGCTCTCAGGGAGGGGCTTAATAGAGATGAAGATGAGCTGAGTGTGTGCCTTTAAGTCAATGCAGAGGAAACTCTGATCTCCTGGGTAGGTCTTACCGAGGTCTTCTGATCTCCTTTTACCTATCTTCTGGTGAAATCCTGTTTCTACCTACCTTGATGTCACTTTATATGCCCATTTTCTTTGTTCTTGCTGACTCTCTCCTCCTACAGACCCTGTAAAACCCAGCCTTCTCTTCCCGGGACATCTCCTTGTGAGTCTTTTTGTTTCTGTTCCTCCAGTTGAGGTCTGCAGGGCATCCCTTAGCTAGACCTCACCATCCCACACTGCCCAAGACCTACGTGGATTGCCAATGGCTGTCCCATCAAGGTCGACTCCTCACTCACCCCCTCTTTTCAAGATCCTCAGGCCTCGTTCTAGCCTAGTTTTTGTTCCTCCCACAGGAACCCACGGGTGGTCTTCACTTTGAGCCTTGAATCCGCAGAAAAAAGATTTCATTTCTGCTTCTCTGCCTTCTTTTGTTATGTGAGATAATGAGTAGCCTTCATTGCATAAGCCATTGGGTTAAGTCAGATGCATGTGAAATGCATTCCTAATGAATATAATTTCTTTTTCTCCCCATCTATGGCCATGAAAAGGGTAGCAGATTGGGATTACCTGACAAAAGGGGCAGGTCAGTGATCAGATTGGTGGTCATGCAGACAGGAAATGGAGCCAACAGAGTAAAGAAAGGGCATCGATGGGCCAAATGCTGCCAGAAAAGAGGAAAGTGGCCCCTGCTCAATCTCTTGTCTTCTAAAGGCTAAGGTTTCTATATAAATCTACTAAGTGTAATAAGACAGTAATGGTGAGTAATGAGGTAAGCAGAGACAGAACATATGGTAACCACGTTTGATGGAGAAAGGAGAGGGGAGGGGAGGTTTCTAGGGGAGGACCCGGGGAAAGGCAGAGGCAGAGGCTGAAAGAGCAAGACTGCATCTCTGGAGGAGATTCATCTTTGTATCAGTGGGACTGAGAATACATGGGTTATGGAACTTTGCTCAGAGGCTCTCGGGCGGGAATAAAATGAAAGTGCTGTTTATCTTCTGATTTATTACTAGGGAAGAAGGATAATTTCCTGTGGGATGCCTGGGATATAGCCTTCTGGTGAGACTTGATTTTATCCTGCTGTTTTGGCACTGAAGGACACGATGTGGTTCAAGATTATTGGCTAAGGCGTGAGTCAGAGTTGCCACAAAGCCAGCTCAGACTAGTTTAAGGAGCAGGAGGGGGCTGGGGAATGGAACACACTGGCTTATGAAACAGCAGAGTTCAGAGCTGGGGATGGTCTCGGGGTCCACGGGCCTGGTCAGCATCTCTGGGCTTGGTTTTCTCTCTCTAGCTCTCAGCATGTCTTGTCCCTCCATGGCTTCATTCTGCTGATTGACTCTGCGTAACATGAGTAATGGAAAATCTGCTGGCACTCCTGTCGGAAATGTGCAACCTGATCCCGCCACCCCCAGACCCCAATCAGATAAACATAAATGAAGGCACAGTCTAAAAAACAATTAACTTGCGTTCTTTAAAATTCTAAATGTTATGAAGCCCCACCAAAACCAAACCCAAGGTAACTGAGTTGCTTCCAATTCGTAGCAATAATACAGGACTAAGCAGAACTATCGCACAGAGTTTCCAAGACTGTGTGTTTTTACGGGAGCAGACTGCCTCATCCAACTGTCACACGCATATGTAGCAATTGAAAATACCATGACCTGCATCAGATGCAGCTGTCGCATCGTTTCTCTTTAGCACTTTAGAGAGGTCCTTGACAGCAGGTTTTCCCAAGGTAACACATCTTTTGATTTCTTGACTGCTGCCCCTGTGGGCAGTACATGGATTGTGGATCCAAGTAAAATGCAATGACACCTTCAGCCTTTCTCTATCACAGCATTTCCTGTTGGTCCAGTTGTTAGAGTTTCTGTTTCCTTGATGTTAAGATATAATTCTCATGCAAAGCTATAGTCTGATATTCTTAATTAGGTGCTTCAAGTCTTCTTCACCTTCTGCAGGTAACGTGTTATTTTGCATAATGCAGGTTGTATCAATCTATATGGTGGCCAAATAATCTGAGAAACTGGACTATATGAAGAAGAATGCAGCATCTGCATTGGAAGATGTATCATTAACAACCTGTGATATGCAGATGACACAGCCTTGAGGATTGAAGCACTTACTGGAAAAGGTAAAGACTGACTGACTGTCACTGTGGATTACACTTAAGCATAAAGATGATGAGAAACCTCACGATGTTCTTGGCAACAGCTGTCTAGAAAAGCCCTGAACTGAGGGTTTCCACATACTGTCCTTGTGAATGACACCTCTTGAATTTGAGCAGAACACATCACAACTTTCAAGAGTTTATATGTCCCTCTACCTTTTACAGTTCGATATTTCATAAGTTAGTCTATGAAAAGAAGAGGGGAAAAAGCCGTTTACTTTTTTTACTTTGTTTATGTTTACTGGTTCCAATTTCTGTAGGCGATTATTTAGACAACAAACAAAAACCCCCCTCAAACTCATTGTTGTTGAGTCTTGGTGAACTCATAATTGAACTTCCTTTGGATGTAAAAGGCTGTAAATCACACAGGAGATCACTCATCTTTCTCTGGCTGAGCTGCTGGTGAATTAGAACCACGTGACACATGTGGCCTTTGGGTTATCAGGGCAGCTCCCTACTGAATAATTCCCTTGACCTGTCCCCAGATTCAGGGGGTGTGTTCTCCCAGTCCTTCTATACTCTGAGCAGACGGGCGCCTCCAGTCCTCTTTGTTCTCAAGAAGGCTGAATGCAAGCATATCCATGCCAAGACTTCACTGATAGAGTTCTGCAATTTCTTCTCTAACTCCACATGGGAAATTACTGCTTGAGAATTATCAGAATTGCCTGATGGGCGATGAAGTGATGTTGGCTTTGTTCCTTCTGGTTACACTGGCTTCCTCCACTTGAGAAGAACAGCAATCAGCCCTCTGTCAGAAACCTTGGTCTGAGATAGAGGAAAAAGCTGCCTACTTAGTGGGATGTGAAGGAAGCCAGAAGGCCAATCTTCCCCTAATTATTTACCTCCTCAGGCTGCTTCTGTGCTTAAAACTCCCTCCATTGTGGCTTCCCTTCCCTGGATTAAGTCCTAGTCACAATACAAATCTGTAACCTGAAGGAGAACTCACACAGACAATACGTGGTAACTCTTTCCATGTGAACATGAATTCCTTTGTCAGTGAAGTAAAAGGTAGTAGGACCGAGAGGAGTGGGGTCCAGATGAGTGTTGAGAGAGGGCAACAATCCGAAAGGATCCAACCAAGTGCATAACTGTTAGTTTCTTAGGTTGGCTGGTGCCATTCTGAAGAAAGTAATGACCTGGATTCAGGGAACAAGTGGATGCTGGGTGATCGGAAGGAGATGCAGGAGCCTGTCATCTGTGAGAAGAGGGAAGATGGTGAGTTCTGACTGGTTGTGCTGGTCTTCTTTTTGTGTTGAGTACCCTCGCTTTCCTGTGCTCCCTCCTTTGGGTCTTTGGTATAATTCTTCCTCATTTCATAAAGTCTCAACCCCTCTCTCAATGAAGTGAGCATGTGATGCAGGCTTACTATTTAAATTCTCCCACAGAATTCATATGAGGACATTGAGAGTAACTTGCCACTAAGATCTTATTTTTTTCAAAATTATTTTTTATTTTATTATTTTTGTGTGCGTATACCATCAAATCAGATCTGACTGGTACAGGAGGAGATTGTCCCTCCTTTCCCGGCAGAGCGTCTGGTGGATTCGAACCGTGCGCCTCGGGGATTGTAGTTGCAGCTCCTTGCCACTAGGCCACCAGAGCTCCCCTAACATCTTATTTTTAAATTTAGATTTAAAAAAATTCAAATGTATGGAAAAATAGCAAGACCAGTACAATGAACACAGTATACTTTTCACCTAGATGAGGCTGCATAGGGCTAGGTTTCGATTTGCTATCCCCAGGGTCTCTGAGTTGGAGTCACCTGGGTGGTATTTAACCACAAAATCACAGATTGAAAAAGCAGGTGAAAGGATTCAACCTTGACACACACTTTCCCCCATTTCATACTGTTAAATATCCCTTTGTTTTGTTCAAATGATTATCTCTAGATCTCTGAAGGTTCTACTTAAACATGATTAAATGCTCTGGAACTCCCATTCTTTGTAATATTAGCCATAGTTATCTACTGTTCATTATGATCCACGAAGTCAATTGCCTTTGCAGTGTCACCAAAATACAGAAAACGTCTTCCTGGCATTCCCTACAGCAGCTGAAATCAGCCATCATGTCTCTAGTCCCAAAAGACTACTGATACCATCTATATGCAAAAATGCTCCATCTCGATTATTTTTTTAATTTTAAAATAAATTTGATTGTTTATGTTTATAAATACCTTAGAGCCTTTCAAAGAGCAGAGTAACCGCTGTTAAAAAGAACAGTATAAAAACCAGGTGCAGAGCGGCCTTTCGGGACTGCTGCCGCTTCTGGTCGCGGGCGTTAAGGCTTCAGGGTTACTTCGTGGAGCTGGAGCATTGGCCGCTCAGGCCCTGAGGGCCCGCGGTGCCAATGGGGTCTCCGCCGTGCCCTCGATGGTATCTGGAGGTGATGTGCCTGCCGGCCATGATCAGACGACAGGGTGGGAGCGGGAGGTCATGACGGCTGCTCGGAAAGGCCAGGATCCATGCAATATGCTTGCTCCAAAGGCAGCTGCAGGCACTAAGGAAGATCCTGATTTAGTTTCCTCCATCACCAACAAGCGAATAGTAGGCTGCATCTGTGAAGAAGACAACAGCGCTGTGATCTGGTTTTGGCTACACAAAGGTGATGCACAGCGATGCTCTAATTGTGGGACCCATTACGAGCTGGTGACCCCCCCAGTTAGCTCGCTGAGTGAGCCCTTAAGCCCAAGCTCCCATTGACGTGGTCTAAATATCCTGGAATGTTTCCTTCTTTCCAATAAAGACTAGCCACTGCTTGGGCTCCTTCACCCATTAAAAAACAACAACAACAACCCAAAACCAACCAATCAGCCAACCAACCAGCCAACCAACTGAATGAATGAATGAACAAACAAACAATAACCAAAAAAAACCCAGGTGCAGAAGTTTGTCAGCAAAATTTCTCACGGTGCCATCAAGTTGACTATCTCTCAGAGAATCTCAGGAACAGCAGTTCAAAACCTTACCCTATGGGGGGCCATCGCCACAAGGCTGCCATGCTCAATCCTTTGGCTCAGTCATTTTGTCAATCCATCTCCTTTATTGTCTCTCTCTTTCCTTTGCTGCCCTTCTACTTTTCCAAGCACTCTTTTTCTACTTTTCCCAAGAACTAGCCCCTCGTGACAACATGTTCAAAGTAGAAGTTTCACTCTCTTTGCCTCCAAGAAGCACCTTAGATGCATTCGATCAAGACAGTTTTGTTATTATGGCAGTCCTTTCAACACTCTTCACCAACACCACAATTCAGAGATAGGAATTTTTCTGGGGTCTTACTCATTGTTTAACTTTCAGATGCCATTGAAAATATCACAAGTTGGGTCAGATGCACCTTAGTCTGTAAGCTGATGTCCTTGATCTTTAACACTTTAAAGAGATCTTGGCAGCTAATTTGCCCAACGGGACCTGCCTTTTGATTTCTTTTCTCTTTTCTTTTTCTTAGGATAGATAGTAATGATAGATTAGAAAGGTACATTCCCAAAAGAACAGACTTTCCTCCTTGAAAGGAGGTGAGGAGAAAAGGCCTCTTGCTGGTGAGGTGAATCTCTATAGCTCTGTCATTTGATTTCTTGACTGCTGCTACCAAGAGTGTGATAGTGGACCCAGGTAAAATGAAATCTTTGACAGCATCAATACTTTCTCTATTTTTCATGATGTTATTTATTTGCCCACTTGTATTTCTATTTTCTTAATGCTGAGGTGTAATCATTGACAACTGAAGTCTTTGACTTTGTGCAGCAAGCACTTGCAATCTGCTTCACTTTCTGCAGGCACGTTTGTGCCGTGTGCAGAAATCTGTAGCCAAAAAGAAAGAAATTTTGAAAATTTTTTCCAGATCTTTTATTTGTGTATTTCAAGATTCGTTTCTCATTACCATTACATTACTATGCTTTAAAATGTTTTATGAGTCTTTTGTGAAATTCTGAAGTCTATTCAATATATGACTTGTTTTTCCAAATCAAATGTTTCTTTAACATTCACAAATTTTCAATGAAGCTTAATTAGGCAGAGAAATTGTTCAGAATGTATTTTAAAATGTGCATGATAATTAGGGAACATCAAAGGGTATTGTTCCTTTCTAGATAATAAACAACTGCCTGTTAATGATTTCACAAATTCCAGATGTTATTCCACAGCGCAAAGATCTGAAGTTTGTTGTTTTTAAAGGCAAGTGTGTATTAAGTTAATAGTTCACTCAACCCCTTTTCTCAAAAATAGTTTCAAAAAAGACTGGTTCTATCATTGTAAGTATCAAAGTTCATGGAATTTTGGAGCTGAAATAGACTTTAGGTATCTTCCCATCTGCCACCTGATGAAGAAATTAACTTGGCCAATATCATACTTGGTTACTAATAAGCAGAACTAGGCTGTAGTTTTTTCCCCGTGGCTCTCAATCTGGGTCATTTTCTACTACATTTTTCTGCAGCTCATTGTCTCTCTCTCTTTTTCTCCATGAACATTTTGTTATGGTTTGGGTGTAGTTTACAGAGAAAATTTGTCTTTAATTCACCAATTTCTACATCTTTTGTTTCATGACATTAATTGTAATTCCTTCAATGTAACAGCACTTTCCCCCTCTGTTTCCCATTTCCGTTGTTCCTTTGTTTCCATGATTCATCCTGTTTTTTGAACTTGGGGCAAACGCTACCTACCTCTAGTCCCATACATTTTGTTGTTCTGAGAATACATTCCTCAAAGGTGCTGTTGTTCAGTTAATAGGATTACCTATTGTTTGACCGCTAGATGGTCCCTTTAGGGGTGGGTTCAATTCCAGGTTTGAAAAGTATTGAAGAGTTTTCATCTCAGGGGTTCCACCAGACTCTATCAGGTCAGTAAGTTTGGTCTTCAAATACTTTTTATAATTGCTTTCCAAATAAAAATTCAAACCAAGTCCAAATGGCAAAATACAAATGGTATTATTATGTGTTTTGTTGTTGTTAGGTACTGTGGAGTTGAGCACGACTCATAGCGACCCTATGAACAAAAGATCTAAACCCAGTTATATCCTGCACCTTCCTCACACTTTCTGACACACAAGAGCCCATTACAGCAGTCACCATGTCAATCCACCTGGTTGAGGGTCTTCCTCTCTTTTGCCGACCCTCCCCCCTCCCCAGCCTCATGTCCTTCTCCAAGGAACAGCTTCTCCTAGCAACGTGTCCAAGGTATGTGAGGTGAAGCCTCATCATTCTTGCCTCCAAAGAGCAGTTTAGCTGTACCTTCTCCAAGACATATCTGTTTATTTTTCTTGGCCATCCATAGGATGTTCAGTGTTCTTCTCCAATACCACAGCTCAAAGGCATCAATTCTTTTTCTGTCATCTTTATTACTTGTCCAGCTCTCGGATGCATAGCTAGTAATCAGAAAGACTGTGGCCAGAATCAGATACACCTTAGTCTTCAAACTGACATCACTACTACTCAGTAATTTGGAAAGGTCTCTACCTGCAGATTTTCCCAGTTCAATGTGTTTCCTTATTTTCTAACTGCTCATACAGTTAATTTAATGAAATTAACTGTGTTAATTGTGGATCCACGCAAGATGAAGCTGTTGACACTTTCAATCTTCTCTCTATCAGTTTCTTCTCCATCTATCATGATGCTGCCAATTGGCCCAGTGGTGAGAATCTTTGTTTTCTTGATGTTGAGCTTTAATCCATATTGAAGGCTGCAGTCCTTGACCTTCTACAGCAAATGCTTCGGGTCCTCCTCAGCTTCAGCAAGCAAAGTTGTGTCATCTGCATAATGCAGGTTGTTGATGAGGCTTCTTCCAATCCTGATGCCACATTCCTCCTCACAAAGTCTAGCCTCTTGAATGATCTGGTTCTGCCTATAGATTGAAAAGGAACAGAGATAGGATGTACCCTGGTGTACTTTAGAAGACTCTAAATAGAATCTCTCATACTCAAGGTAGCCCTTTATGATACATTTTTTTGGGGGAAGTCACTATGTAGTCAATTTATGTAAGTTAGTCCTCTAGTAAATTTCTCAAGAGAGTTCAGGAAAGCAGTATTTCCCAAGTTCCTACAGTCAAAACTATTGTCTAGTTGAAGTATTTTAATGGATTACTATGTACTCTTTCAGTTTATGGACTTAGCCCTTGTGATGCAAGATTCTGTGAGAACAATCATTCAGTCTTCATATTTTCTCAGCTAATGGAGGTTGTGAACTGTGGGTTTTCCATACTTTCAAAAATACTAATATACTTTCCTTTTCCTCTACCATGATTAAAATGTTATCAAATCGACTTTGACTATAAACAACAGACCAAGACATTGCCCTATCGTATGCCATCTTCATTTAGGTAAGTTGTGGGTTGATTGCAAAGACATCATCCATGTAGAGCAAAAGGTCATTACAAAGACAGGGGGGAAAGAAAAAACTGAAATAGATGTCAGAAAAGAATCTGAAAATTGCACTAGAGCATCAAGAAACCAAAAACAGAAGGAAAACATACCAAAGTAAAAGAGCTAAACAGAAAATGTCAAAGGGCAGCTCAAGAAGACAAAGCGAAGTGTTATGACGGAATATGCAGAGAGCTGAAATTGGAGAACAAAAAGGGAAGAACTTGCTCTGCTTTCACACAGATTGCACCTGATCCTACCCAACCAGAAATCCTGCTTCTATCATGGCTTTCGAATGAACTCTTTGGTGCACACCTGTCCATTCTACTCCACCCTGAGTTATGGGAGGGGCTGTGTCTTTCCTCTTTGCCTCCCTGGCACCTTCAATCTTCAAGGAGCTCACAGTGTAGCAGCGATGAATTTGTCACTTAGACATTAGCCACTGGAATGAGGTGTATCTTCCTTCCTAAAATCATCCTGACTTGATTAACCTGACTACAAATGCCTCAAACCCCTTACCTATTGGGGAAAATCCTGGCTGTCTTTTGCTTTTCATGGGTAGTGTGTATGGACACCTCTTGTTCCATTTTCCTACTTTTAGAAAGTCTGATTCTCAAGCCTGCTTGCTTTTCTACGTCAAGTGCCCACTCAGACATGGTCTGTGGCCCCTCACATCTCCAAAACAAAACACTACAGCATATGGTGTTCTGAAGACTCAGGGGATGTGGAAAGCAGATTGGGGAACTTTTAAATGTAGCCGCACACAACACAGAAATGCATGTTGGTTTTGAAACAATTCCTATATAATTCTTCTCACCAGGAGATGTTTGCTTCTCCCAAGAATCCTGGCTTCCTGCCATCTTGCTGGGCCCTCTCGACTCTCACTGCAATATCCTCTTCCCATTCTGGACTTCCTCATCCCTTCCACTGAAATGACCGTGAAAACCATCATTTCTTCATTATTTGGCCCGGAACTGGTACCCTTAGCTCTCTTCCTACAGTTAAAAGATATAACAGGGTATTTAACTAAATGAAAGGGTTCCTGGCTTGTGCATCATTTGTGCATCTTCTACCACTGTAGTCACTGAGGTTCTCTGACTTATCATTGCACCCTGCACCTTCTCTCTCATAGTGTTTCTGTGTGTATATGTGTGCAAGCCGTCAAGTCAGAACTGATTCATAGCTGACCTTCCAGCTGGCTTTCAGAGGTTGTAAATTAGCCTCTGAAAGGCTTGAAAGATACTTCTCATCTTTCTCCTGCAAAGCAGCTGTTGGATCCAAACTGCCTGCCTTTGGGTTGACTACACTACTCCTTAAACACCAGAACTCCTAGGATTCTTACTAACTTCCCCCCCACCCC